CTGCATCAACGAGAACCGAAGGCAGGCATAGCACCCAGGCATAGCACCCAGGCATTCTGATATAGGATGTGGGCATCTTAACCAGTATCACAACCACCAAGCTAAATACTTACCCAGATTTTTCTCTCTCTTCTCTCTCTCTCTCTGAGTGTGTATGGTTTATGTGTATGACTGTTGAATGTTACAGGAAAACAAGGTGCAAATGATAGAAAGTGTGTTAAGTTGTGAACCTAAATTCCCAAGATCAAGCGCATTTTAAAGAAGTGCTGAGAGAGTAAGCAATACTCAGCAATTTTTTCCAAAATAAAAAAATTTGACAATGATATTAAAACATTTTTATAAATTCTTCAGTCAGGAAAAACTACAGACATGCAACTATGGTCAGGCAAATACGATCAGTAGACATATTTGGTAACAAAAACTTACTTATATAGGCTTCCTTTACTGTTCCTATTGATATCAGACAGCTTATTAACAATTTTTAATATTAATAAGCCTGTGGGTTCTTGCCACTTATTTAGAGAATTCTAAATGCTGGTTTATATAGACCAGGCAACATGGTAAGTTTTTAAGCTTTTTATTCAGTGAGAGAAATGTGCAGGAGAGTGAGTGCTTTATTTAGGGGAGAAAGAGAAGTCTAGAAACTAAGTTGGGTCTGTACCAAGCAGAGAGCAGGCCAGGAGCAAGCCATGTGGAGCAAGCGTATGGGTAGGAGCAGCCACAGGTAGCTTAGGGCAGCAGCAAAGCAAAGGCCTTTTATATGCCTTGTAAAGGGGAGTGGTTATATAGTCTGATGGGCAGGTGAGCATCCAGGTGAGATCAGGTAGGGGCGTGAGATCACACAGCAGGTGTGATGGAGGGCGTGGTCTCCAGCTTACATATCTAATCAGTTTTATCCTATCTGCCTGCCTCTGAATAAGGTGATCAACATCCCCAGCTCAAACACTATGACGTGGGTATAGAGCAGGGGCAACTTGGATATTAGGAAGGGCCTGTTGCTGCTATTGTACTTGAGCACAGTTGTGGACCCGAAGAACAGAGTCTTATTGGAAGACAAGACTTTGGGCCCCGAATAATACCTTTTTCCTCTTTGATACAAGGGTAGTAACTTATGACACCAGTTGGCTGCTGAGCTCTGCTGTCATCCCCTTGATGACAGAGACAGAACTAAACATCTGTTAAGTATTCAGAAAGGAGATATGCTGATTTTGACACCACTGTTTCTGTGAAAGAGAAAGGAACCAGATTGGAGAGCATGGTCATCAACTGGCAGAATCAGTTAAGAATAAAGTCAGCACCATCGTACATCATTTGGGAGAGGGAAAGCCTTGATGGAGGGCTGGAATGATCGAGGAGTGATAGCCCAGATCTTCCTCCCTTGCTTTAAACAACAAATGGCCTCATTTCTTTGCATTCTGGGTAGCCAGTTGAAGGGCAGCTAACCCCTGCCCCCCCTCCCCCACCCCAGTCACTTAACCTCTTACAATGTCTGATTCTGGAAAACAGTATGGTAGCAACCACAGGGATTCCTATGTGTAGAGGTAAGTCTTTGCTTCTTACTTAAGCTTTGATTTATTGTCTGTGGTTGTTTTGGGTACGGGGATGGCTGAATTTTAACAAGAAGATAAACTTGTAGATGGAAATTCTTCTAAGCCATAAATACCACTAACTTGCCTGTTCTAGGGAAGTTCAAATAAAGACCCTGGGGTTTAGCATCTGCCGAAGTGTTTTCCTTCTTTTCCCATTGGCCAAGAAAAAGACATGCCTCCACATCAGTGGTGTAGGCGCCAGGGCCTGACCCGTGCCAATCAGAGGTCCGCTTGCACAGAACGAAGGCAGAGGATGACAAATTGGTCTGTGCCAGTTGACCTCTGAAGTGGAGGCGTAGATTTACACAGCAGCCTCTGGAGGCTCCTTATCTGCTCTACTTAGTATAAACACTGCCCTTCTGGAGCCCTCTCCATGTCTCCCATCAGGATCTGGAGATGAATTCTAGGTCACTGGCTAACTTCACCATTTCTGCTCTGCTCCCCAGTATTTTTCTTTTTCCTGGGTTTTGTACAGATTCTGGAAGATACCAACTCTAGGAGCTGGGGGAATATCTTACTCACCTTTGGGATCTACCACTGCATACCCTTAACACATGGTAGGTGGCAATAAATGCTTATCAATCGATTTGTTCAATAGTCTCTGTGTTATCTGTCTATTAAGCACCTGGGGTGATTCAAACAAACAAACAAATGCTTTATTGGGCTCACCACAAATCAACTGAATCCTGATCTCTGGGCATGGGATCTCAGTTTTGGTAGATTTGAAATCTCCATAGCTGTTTCTGGTGCACCAAGAAAGTTCAGAACCACTAAATCAATTAACCTATTGGTCCACTAGGCTACATTTTGTTTGCTTCCACGTTTGAAAGAAACCTATTTGAACTATTTCACAGAATGGAAATCCCAATCTCTAAGAAGATATTAGTGCTATTTTGTAGCAAGGGTAGACTAGAAAAGGTTGCCATACTATGTGGCCCTGGGCGAGTTACTTACACTCTTCATGCCTCAGTTTACTTGACTGTAAAATTGAAAGGATAATAGTAACTTCCTCTTGGGATTGTAAAAATGACATGAACTGATCTACATAAAACTCTTAATACAGTATCAGGTGTATATGTGTTAGATAAACAAAACCCCACCTGAAGAAGAGGGTGACGTGTTTGTTGTCACTGTTATTCTCTGGTCCTGTTAAGGACTCCAGCTTCCTCGCAGAGCAGTTCTGACTGGAGCCTTTCCTTTTCCCTTCCCTCTCATCCCTTTCAACTGCTCCTCTGCCCCTCCCTTTTCACTCCCATGCGCTGATTCCAATCCTGGCTCCCTCATTATCTTTCTCCTAGATAGTGGCTGCTACACTGGTCTCCTTGCTGATGATCCAGTTGTGTGTTGGCAATCTTTGTGTGACTCCAAAATCACCCTATGATTGGATTGTGATCTTGAGGCTGCCAATCTCAACAACTCAACCTATGTCTTCATTTCTGTGAAAATTTAAACCCAAGCTGTGTGATTTGGGCTGTTCGGCCTCTTTCTTCAAGTTTCCATCTCTTCATGTTTAAGTGGGAATCATCTAATTATGCTTTCCACTCAGGCACACACTAGGGGCTCAATAAATGTTACCAGTAAAGTACCATGAGTATTTGTCCAGGACTCCTCTCCAGTGAACCCAGGCACTGGCTATGTGAGTTTTGCTGTTCTCAGACCACACCCTGCATTTTCTTGGCTTTCAGCCTCTGTTCATGTTGTCTTTGCCCTTGGAATGCTTGTCACTCATCTCTGAGTATTTGAATCCTACCAGTCTTAAAGGACCACCTTCAGATGCCAATCAATGTCTTCTTGGAAAGTTCCCTGGAAGTAAATTACTCCCTCTTCTTATTTCCACGAAAGTCAGTTACTTAAAAAATATGTATTTGTTTTATTTATTTATTTGAAAGAGAGAGATAGAGACAGAGAGACAGAGGCGGGGGGAGAGAGAGAGAGAGAGAGAGAGAGAGAGAGAGAGAGAGAGAGTCTCCCATATGATAGTTCATGCCCCAGATGGCAACAGCAGCCAGAGTTGAGCCAGAACAAAGCCAGGAGGTGAGAACTCAATCTGGTCTCCCATGTGGGTGGCAGGGACCCAAGTACTTGAGCCATCATCTGTGTCCTCCTAGAGTGCAGGAACCTGAAATCAAGAGCAGAGCCAGGACTCGAACTCAGGACTCTGATATAGGAGGTGGCAGCCTAACCCCCTCACCAAGCACCCACTCCAAAATTCAGTTCTTTTCAGACAGGGATCCCAAACTTCAGCAGGTATCATATTACCCAAAGGGCTGGTTAAAACATCGATGCCTTGGATATCAGCAGGTGTGTGAATGCCTTAATTTAGCAGGTGTAAGGTGGGGTCCAGGAAGTTGCATATCTTCTCACAAATTTTCAGATAATACTGACCTGCTTGTCCAAACTTCAGTTAGCACTGTTTTAAGGTACTGAACATCTTACAAGTTCTACAACTGTAATTAAATTCCTTCCCTACGGAGACTTTTAGTAGGGTCAATGTGCCTCTTTCCTTATCTTTCAGGAGCTGGCCCTTTGACTTGGACTTGAAAGTGGGCAACATAACAGCAGCCAAGCGCCCTGCAGCAGAGGGACCCAGGAATAGGAGCAAAGGGTGGCATACCTATGGGAGGGTAACAATGAAGGAACAATGGGAAATTAGCGTGAAGAGATGTGCACTGTACAGTCAATGTGATATACCAATTTTGAGAGCTGGGTGTAGAGAAGAACCTTAAAAAGCAGGCAGAAGAGTACATGTTTGACCCCTTAACCTGCAAAACACAAGGGCTGAAACTGCATCCTGATGGTTCCTTCCTGTTGGTCACAAGCCACTGTGGAACAGGGGCTCTTTGTATTCCAAGAAATGTGCACAACATAGATTCGCTACTGATGTTTGCTATTCTAGGTCCCAAGGTCTGTCATTCTGCAAATTTACTCTTATCTGAGGCTCAGGAACTCCAACTGCTCCTGCACAGCCAACCCAAACCACAGCCTTCAAGTGTGACTGACATCTTGACAAATTCTGGGCCTTTCTTTCCCTTAAACCACATTTGCTGGTTTAAAAGTTGCTTACCAAGGAACCAAAACCGTCACTGCCTGTAGAAAATGGGTTATTTTCTCTGTTTTAGTATAAGCTTGGTTTAAAGGGATAATTATAAAAGAAAAGGAAGTGGCCACCTGGAAGTAACAGATTTGGGCTCAGTGTGAAGCTCTTGGTTTTGTGTTGGGTTTTCTGGATTGCCTGCTTTATAGGATATTGATGAGGTTAAATAATTATGTATGTGAATGTGAATGTACTTTGTAAGCTCTAAAGCACTGCAGGAATATAATTAATTATGTTTATAATTACAGGTAATGTAATTATAATTGTAATTACTTTGTGGGTGCAAGCAGAATATATATATATATATATATATATATTCCAGGCCTGCTCTATAGTAGGATACCCTTGGTATATATCCTTGGTTAAATCATCAATTTGTTAATTAGACTCACTCTCTCTGACTTTTTTTCACCATTGGGATATGCTGGATATTTTGACCTGAGGATTTCTTGTTGCATATTTAAAAATGGGAAAAAATGGGGCCAGTGCTATGGCATAGTGGGTAGAGCCACCTCCTGTGATGCTGGCATCCTATATGGGTGCTGGTTCAAGTCCCAGCTGCTCCTCTTCAAATAAAGCTCACTGCTAATGTGCCCAGTAAAGCAATGGAGGATGGCCCAAGACCTTGAGCCCCTGCACTCATGGGGGAGACCCAGAAGAAGCCCCTGACTCCTGGCTTTGGCCTGGCCCAGCCCTGTTTGTTGTGGCCATTTGGTGACTGAACCAGTGGATGGAAGCTCTGTCTCTACCTCTTTTTCTGTAATTCTGATTTTCAAATAAAAAAGCATTTTTTTAAAATGGGGAATAATTGGATCTCCACATGCAGAAGCATGATGTTAGACCCCTACCTTACATCTTAAATGAAAATCAACTCAAAATGGATCAAATTTCTAAATCTACAACCTAATACCATCAAATTACTGGAGGAGAACATTGGGGAAACTTTGCAAGACATTGGCATAGGCACAGACTTTTTGGAAGAGACATCAAAAACACAGGCAATCAAAGCCAAAATAGACAAATGGGATTATATCAAGCTGAGAAGCTTCTGCTCTGCAAAAGAAATACTCAGCAAAATGAAGAGGTAACCAACAGAATGGGAGAAAAGATTTGCAAACTGTAAACTGCTAAACAATTAATCTAGAATCTATAAAGTGCTAAAGAAACTCAACAACAACAAAGCAAACAATTTAGTTAAGAAAAGGGCAAAGGACTTGAACAGGTGTTTTTCAAAAGAGGAAATTCAAATGGCAAATAGACACATGAAAAAAATGCTCAGGATCAGTGAAATGCAAATCAAAAATCACAATGAGGTTTCACCTCACCCTAATAAGAATGGCTGTCATAAAAAAATCAGTTAACAATAAATGTTGGTCAGGATGTAGGGAAAATGGTACCCTACCCCACTCTTGGAGGGAATGTAATCTAGTACAGCCATAGTGGAAGACAGTATAGAAATATGACAGCTGAAAATATGACCCAGCAATCCCACTCCTGGGAATTTACACAAGGGAAATGAAATCAACATATGAAAGAGTGATCTGTACCCCTTGTTTATTGCAGCTCAGTTCACAATAGTTAAGATATGGAATCAACCCAGATGTCCTTCAACTGATGATTGGGTAAAGAAATTGTGGTATATATACCTTTGTAATACTGCTCAGCCATAAAAAGAATGAAATCTTGTCTTTTGCGATAAAATGAATGCAACTGAAAACCATTATACTTAGTGAAATAAGCCAGTCCTCCAAAAAACAAATACCATATGTTTTCCTTGATCTGTGGTAACTAATAGAGTAACTAAAATGTAATGTATAGGAGTGAAATTGACATTTTGAGATTCGATGATTATTTGCAGCTCTTGTCTCTACTGTTCAGGAATAGTGTTTTTTTTTTCTTACTATTTGTTGAACTCTTAGTGTAGGATTAATCTTGTGAGTATAAAGTAGACTGAAAGTAGATCACTGTAAATATTAAGAGAGGGAATAGGAGAGGAAGGAGGAGGAAGGACGGTAGCATGGGCAGAAGGGAGGCTAGGGTGGGAAGTGTCACTATGTTCCTAAATCTGTATATATGAAATACATGAAATCTGTATACCTTAAAGAAAAATTTTTAAAATAATTTTAAAAATGGGGGAAAAAATCACAGGGTGAGATTGGGATATCTAGCTCTAAGTAGTAATATTCTTTGGCACTTATGTAGTATATAAATTGTTAAAACAATATATTTATTAACTTGCATATATACAGCAATGATACTTGCAGAGATTTATAAACAAAACATGTATATATACATATATAATTTCTATGTACCATTGGTCCTCTTCATTTGTGGGTTCTTCATCTGTGGATTCAGCCAACCCTGTATTGAAAACATTTGGGGGGTCAGCACTATGGTGTACCAGGTAAAGCCACCACCTGCAGTGCTGGCATTTCAGAGGGGTGTCGGTTTGAGTCCTGGCTGCTCCACTTCTGATCCAGCTCTTTGTTATAACCTGGGAAAGCAGTGGAAGATGGCCCAAGTCCTTGGGCCCCTGCAGCAAGAAGCTCCTGACTCCTGACTCCAGGTGCAGCCCTGGCCATTGCAGCCATTTGGGGAGTGAACCAGCGGATGGAAGACCTCCCTCTCTCTTTCTGCCTCTGTCTCTCTGTAACTCTGCCTTTCAAATAAATACATAAATCTTTTAAAATTTTTTGGGAAAAAAATTATGTCTGTATTGAGGATTTATGTACATTTTCTCATTTTATGCCTTAAACAATAAAGTATATCTGTGTAGCATTTACATTAGATATTATAAGTAATCAAGAGATGTTTTAAAGTATATGGGGGATGGACTTACGTTATATGCAAATATTATCCCACTTTATATAAAGGACTTTGGAATCTATGGATTTTGCTATCCTAGTACCAACCCCCATAGATACTGAGGAATGACAGTAAGTATATTTATATAATATTCAAGTAAGGGTTATTTCCAGAAATCCACTAGAATCAACTACATTCTTAAAATGATCATGTAACTATTAAATTACATATCTGTTCTGTAGTTTAGGCAATGATTACTCGTATGTAGCTAAAACTACAATATGTTATATAATATTTTGCTTGTTTAGCAAAACCAACAAGCTTAACACAGGCGCCAGGTATTTGTTTATATTCCCCCATTAACATTTTTAATCTTGTTAAACACTTTAATCCTAAAAAATGATTATGTCTGGGCCCATGTTCTGGAACAAAGTTGCATTTGTGCCAAGGGGAGACATTCTGGGCTTCTAATTCTTATGGCCCACCAGAGAAATCTGAACTGTTACATTGCACTAGAGCCATAGTTGATGTTTTCCCCATTTAAAAAATGACTAAAATGGCAAGATATTTCACAGGACGCATTCTCCTGGCGTCTCCCTGCGAAATGGCAAGATTCTGCCTGAGAAGCTCCACACTGTGTCTTCAGTTTCTGACCTTCTGCCATTGTTCCTATGCACGGTTAATTGTTGTTAATTTCTAACACATCATTAATTACCTGCCATTAAAGATGTGGGAGATGGAAATGCCCTTCACTCATGGGTGATCACATGAATAAACCATTAATAACTACAAAAAGTATGTTACTTTAAATGTGCAAAGTGAATTGGAGCCGTTCGTGTCTCTGATGGTTGGGCTGTGGCTGAGGACACCAAGGGTGACCTAGTCCTGGCCGAGGAAGAGGCTGACTTTGCTCTCGGTATCTTAATGACTGTAGCATCCGGCCTCAGAGAACTTCTTCTGCTGACAGCTTTCTTATCCTATGCAAAAGAAGCCTAGAGGCGGAACAGCTTCCTCTAATGCCACAGCCCAAGTCACCCACACAATTGGTACTCGGTGTGGAGTTCCTGACTCCCACTCCTGTTCAGTCCACTAGACCGTGCCGGAGGTCAGTGCTGGTGGTGTGGAGGCTGCCACTCCCATCTTCGGCTCTCAGATGGAGCCAAGGCCAAATCACTGACATTGGGATCCTGGTCCTTAAGGAAAAACAATGTGTGAATTGCCATGTAGTGTTGAAATGTTTCACGAAATTCCAATCTTGACAGCTCAGGCAGAAGAGCATTCCCACAATTTTATAGGAACATTAAGAATGATACAGTATACTGGAAAAGAAGGATCGAGCATGGTCACTAGATCATAACCAGAAGAAAATGTTAGGGTATAGAAAAAAGACTCAGGAAAAAAGACTGGGGAAAACTATTTTATGGGTGTAGATTTCAGCTGGGAATTCAAGACTGCTTAGATTCCACAGTTAGCCAACAGACTTGTTGCAGAGATAATACTTTGAACTTACGGGGTTGATGATACCTCTTTCTTTTTTTTTTTTTTTAAGATTTATTTATTTACTTTAAAGTCAGAGTTACACAGAGAGAAAGAGAGGCAGAGAGAGAGAGAGAGAGAGAGAGCTTCCATCTGCTGGCTCACTCCCCAGATGGCTGCAACGGCTGGAGCTGCGCCAATCTGAAGCCAGGAGCCAGGGGCCAGGAGCCTCTTCCAGGTCTCCCATGTGGGTACAGGGGCCCAAGAACTTGGACCATCTTCCACTGCTTTCCCAGGCCACAGCAGAGAGCTGTGGGAAGTGGAGCAGCCAGGACTTGAACTGGAGCCCATATGGGATGCCGGCACTGCTGGTGGCAGTAGCTTTACCCGCTACGCCACAGCACTGGCCCCGATGATACTTCTTTCTATTCAGACTCCTAATTTTTCTAATAAAAATGAAGATTCAGGGAGGATCAAAAGGTCTTTTGCGAATGAGGGAAACAGGAGGACTGGGTCAGCTAGGAGGTTCATAGAGCATTGTGTTACGATCCTCTTCTTCATCTCAAGAGGAAGGCTAACATAGGCTCATCCTTTGCATCTTCCCATTTCCTCCTCTTCTGTTTTTAAAAAGTCATTGAGGGAGAGACTCCTATCTGCTGTTTCACTACCCAAATGCTTGCAGTGGCCGGGGCTGGGCCAAAGCTGGAGATGAGAAGCTCAGTCCAGGTCTCCCACATGTGTGACAGGAACCCCGTCACTTGACATTTCACTGCTGCCTCCCAGGGCTTGCCTTGGCAGGAAGCTGGAGTTTGTGAACAAAACTGAGGCACTCTGAGATGGGATGTGGGTGTCTTTTTTTTTTTTAAGATTTATTTGTTTTACTTGAAAGTCAGAGTTACACAGAGAGAGAAGGAAGTCTTCCATCCGCTGGTTCACTCCCCAATTGGCTGCAATGGCTGGAGTTGCGCCGATCCAAAGCCAGGAGCCAGCAGTTTCTTCCAGGTCTCCCATGCAGGTGCAGGAACCCAGCAACTTGGGCCATCTTCTACTGCTTTCCCAGGCCATAGCAGAGAGCTGGATCGGAAGTGGAGCAGTCAGGACTCGAACTGGCACCCACATGGGATGCCAGCACTGCAGGCGGAGGCTTTACCTGCTATGCCACAGTGCCGGCCCCAGGATGTCAGTGTCTTAACCAATGTATTAACTATTAATGCCTACCCTCTGCACTTGTTCTTCTGGGCTGGCTAATTGAGGAGGTCGGAGGGGATGGACTGTTGTCATCTTCTTGAAAGAGACTGAAAACTAAACCAAGAGGCTTGGGTGTGATATGGGTGGCATCATGGACCAAAGACCAATTTAGAAAGTCTAAATAATGACCTGATGGTAAGAAATCATTTAAACTTCAGGCTCCCCATTCCTTCTCATCTGTAAAATGAGGCATTTACGGTTTAACCACTTTTTGTGTTTTCATTTAAAAATATTTCAAATAATACAGAAAAGTATAAGGAAGAGTTCAATAAGCACAATTTTTAACATTTTGCCATATTCCTATGCAAGCACTGTATTTGTGTATACACACATACTATCTTTTAAAAACAGGGATGAATATGTTACTATTACATAACATGGGGTTCATGACAATGTTTAACTCTTTTTTTTTTTTTGACAGGTAGAGTGGACAGTGAGAGAGAGAGAGACAGAGAGAAAGGTCTTCCTTTTCCGTTGGTTCACCCCTCAATGGCTGCTGCAGCCAGCGCGCTGTGGTCGGTGCACCGCACTGATCCAAAGCCAGGAGCCAGGTGCTTCTCCTGGTCTCCCATGCAGGTGCAGGGCCCAAGTACTTGGGCCATCCTCCACTGCACTCCCGGGCCACAGCAGAGAGCTGGACTGGAAGAGGAGCAACCGGGACAGAATCCGGTGCCCCGACTGGGACTAGAACCCGGGGTGCCGGCGCCACAAGCGGAGGATTAGCAGCGGCGCCGGCCAATGTTTAACTCTTAAGCCTTAGTAAATAGTTGGATTCAAAGATCTAAATTTCATTTTAATTTCTTCCTATTTTTAACCATTTCTTTTCACTGTTACACAGCATTCTGTGATTAACACAATGCCAAATTTATTACCTCTTCTACTATTAGACTGTTAGACTGTTTGAAGTCTTCCATTAAAAGTAATGCTGAGGGCATGGCTCCATGGTGCAGTGGGTTATTCCTCCACCTGTGGAGGATGGCCCAAGTCCTTGGGTCCCTGCACCCACACGGGAGACCTGGAAGAAGCACCTGGCTCCTGGCTTTGGATTGGCATAGCTCTGGCCGTTGCAGCCATATGGGGAGTGAACCAATGGAAGGAAGACCTTTCTGTCTCTCCCTCTCACTGTCTGTAACTCTACCTCTCAAATAAATTTAAAAAAAAAGTAATGCTGCAATAAATATGCAATAAACATTTTATGCAAATCTCTGTATGTTCTGGTGGAAATTTTTCTCCTGAGTTTCCATTTCCATTTTACCAAATGGTACCAAATTAATCCGCAAAGTGATTATACAGATTTACCAACCTTTAGTCCCTTCTCCTCTACTGTACACTTCTTTGGGGGTTTTGCCCATACACTATATCTAAAACTGGCCAGCAGGACCTAAGTCATTATTCTTGGGCACCCAGGCCCACCAACTTTTCTGTTCCCATGGATTATCTCTCAATCTTCCCTTTTCATCAATGCTGAGGATTTTTTCACAATAGGAGGTCAAGGAGTAGAGTCTATTTTGTATTTTTGTTTTCCCTCAAGCCTTTTGCCTCTGAGCTGTCTTTGTTTCCCGAAGGAGCCAGTCCTTGAAAATAGGCAAGCCTAGAAGAGAACTCTCCTTCTGTTTAATGCTATCTATCACGTGCTTCCTTGAATGAAAGACCAGAGACATCTCTCTCTCTGCTTGAATGAGGGAGGAGGAAACTCACAGGGGGAAAAGAAATGCTAGAGAAAAAAAAATAGGTAATCTCATACAACCTTTATCCTAAATATATTGAATTCTACGAATTGACTTTATTGAAAGATAACAAAATCACATGAAATCTGAACTGTCTGTGAAATCTAGTCTGTAAGGTCATTGTTATAAGAGTCATCATTTCTGCCTTGGAGTATGGAAAAGTATTTCATTATTTCTGTTTTATATGTCCAGTAGGAAGGCAATGATGTAGAAATAGGTAGGCCAACTAATATATGCCCAGGCTAGGAGGAGATAAGAAGGAAAGATTTTGAAGGGGAAGTGTTTGAATGAAGAGCAAAGTAGGAAAGAGACTCACAGTTTAGAAGAGAAGCCAGGGAAATAAGAATGTTGTTTTGATAAGAAATGGGAGAGGAATGTAGCTTGGGATGACAGGTTGATGGAAGGTGATGGATTTGAATTTGGAAGATGTCGATGCCAAGGCATGGTCCTTCTGTTTAAACCTGCAACCAGGATGGACCAACATTTTTCTTGCTTTTTGACGTGGTCCACAGAGATCTCCTAAAATATGATGTGATTTTCCTACCTGTTTTATGTGCCAGCCATCCTTCTTATTCTTCCATGGATTAGATTTCTGTTTATTCAGTGTTGTCTGTTCTCATCTCATTGGACATCTGAGCTTTGCATGTGAGCAAACACGCACAAATAAACCAACAGAAAGGAGATCCCAGATGCAGTTACTTCCCCCCAGGGGGAAGGGACCAACTTCCTTCTGTAGTTTTGCAATTTTACCTCTGAGTATACTTGAATGTGGGCAGTGTGACCACAGACATTTTGTATATTTCAGGAAAAAAATTATTTACTCCATAACTTGGTGAGTATTCTACTTGGGGTTCCCAGTTGGCTTCAGCAGTGGAGTGACTCACAGCTCTCCTTTTTTATGCCTATACATTGTACTTTTCGCCATATCTGAAGTTTTGCAAAAATATTCAGCAAATTTTATCCAATTCCTCTGCTTTCACCTCCCACCGCCCCACCGTACTGATTGCACCCCCAGTTCTGTCCAGACGGAGGGAAAGTAAACAAGGACATTTCCAACCAATTTATTTGAAACAGTTTCTTAAATAGATTGCTCTGGGTTATCAGTGATGTCCTGTTTCTAGGACAAAGAATTATTGCTCTGACCTCATAGTCAGTGGCTCTTTTCAAGGACTTGGATTTAAAGGTTATGAAGAGCTATTCAAACTCATTTATTTCTAGCTCCCTTCTCACTTTTTGTATTGCCTTTTAATGTGTGATGGAATGCCCATTCAAAGCCATAGACCAGTTATAGTAACACATACTTCCAAGATGATATAAAGGAGACTCATCCCTCACCCTTCCTACCAGGCATGTACACGCACAGCCATTGAGGATCAAAGACATCCCGAGAGAAGTCTTCTGGGCAGGCAGCCGACTACAATCATTGGCTACAGCTAACTTGAGACAAATGGCCTATATTTTGTGTTACTCTCTATTCTACATTTCTTCACTTTTTATTGTTTCTCCTTTTTCTCTGCTTTTCCTCCTTTTTTTTCATTATCACATAATGCCATGATATGTTCCAAAGGTCAAGCTTGTTTCCTTCATTTGTTCCACAGTCCATTTATACATGGATACATGACAAACCATCACTCTGCCCATTTCAAGGTCACTGTGGCAATTTTAGGCTTCTGAGTAGACCAAAAGGATGAAGAAATGTGCAAGGCATTTAATGAGTGAAGAAAGGTATTGGAAAAAGGGTAAGGGTTTATGATTTGGAAGAGGGCTCTATTTTCTGGACAAAGAGCTCCTGGATTAGTCAGGACAGGTTGGGTTTTGTTTTAGATAAGAAATCACCTCCAAATGTCAGTGGTTTAGCCCAATAAAAGTCTATTTCTTGCTCATGCTACATGTCTAACATGAGCCGTGGAGGACTCGGCTCCACCAACCCATTCAGGAATTCAGGATATTGAGCACTCTGTTTTCTCAACTCATGATTCCAAGATCAATTCTGCAGGGAAAAAGAGATCTGGAGTGTCTCCCACAGATAATCAAACACGTTGGCCGGGAAGTGAAACGTAGTAGCTCTGCTCACAACACATGGACAGATCACATGGTCTACACAACTGCAAAGGAGCCAAGGAGTACAGCATCTGTGTGCCTGGGAGGGGCAGGTGGTTGACTCTTTGTTGTTCTAGTAGTGTGCACTACAGCCCTTGGGATGATCAAGCTTGAAATGAAGACTGTGGAAAGCCCTAAACGTCTGGCTTCTGTGGTTGAAGGCCAAGTGTACAACAAGTAGTCAGCCTGCGCTTGGCAGCAGCAGGCTGAACTCCTAGCTCCTTCACTTGCAGTTCTGTGAGGGTGCCTTTGGCCACACAGCCACCTCAGGGTAACCTCGTCCGTGGATCCTTGTTCATGAAGGCAGCATTTTTAATAAACTCATGCATGGCCTGTTATCTAATAGAATGTCCATCTTAAATTAATAGTATAATTCATCCTTAATCCTAAATACACCTCTTAACCTACTTCTTTAATTAAGGGATGTGTGGGGTCTGTGAGTCTTGGGTCATTAGGGAGCATAAGTGTTCTGAGCCAAGACTGGGAGGCATCCCTCACCTGTGACAGTGAGCCAGGGTGAGGCTGCCAGGAAGCCAGGGTGTCAAGCATGACAGGACAGCTCCAGCCATTGTGGCCAGCAATAGGACTACATAACCAAGCCCCTCATCTACCACAGACACTTTCTCCCAAAGTACAACTAACTTTATGGCGTCTGGAACAGTACAGTCTTTTTGGATGGCTTTACATAATGTCCCGGGAGTAAGTGACTTTTGGGCACCAGTAAACTAGAGGTAATGCACACATCTGGACTTCTTAGAACTCCAAAATCAATGTCCTGTAAGTGAGTGTGTGCTCATGACTGTTTCCTCGATGGGGCTCAGTCTGAAATGGGGAAAATCTGAGAAAAATCAGCCTGACATAGCAATGGTTAAGAACGGAGACTCCAAAATCCAGGCCGATTCTGGCCTTGCATTTGGGTTGTCCACTTCCTGAGTGTGTGTGGCCTGGGGCAAGTACCATAACATCGTTAAGTCTTATGAGGATTAAAAGAGTACTTATCTCATATATTTGTGAGAATTAGATGAGGAGTTGATAGCATAGTGCTTGGCTCATACTAAGTAGTTGAAGACATTAACTGTTATTAACTTATTAATATTGTTCCGTGTAGCAAGCATGTATGTGTGTGTTCCACAAGCAAAACACTGTGCTAGATATAGCAAGACATGTTCACATGAGACTGCCTTTGGGAATTTGTAAGCATGTACGTGTATGTATGAGAGAAAATGATGTAGAAGAAGATGGGGAGGAGTGGAGGAAGAAAGCAGGAGGGAAGACGTGGTGGGGGGAGAAGGGGAAAGGAAGGAGGAGAGAGAGAGGAGGGAGAGAGAGACTTGGAGTAGGCTTTTAGCATAGTGGTTGAGACACCTGTGTCCCACATTAGAGTGCCTGGGTTCAATGCTTGCCTCTGGCTTCCATTTCCCACCCTAGGAGGAAACAGTAATAGTTCAAATAATTGTGTTTCTGCTATACACATGGGAGGCCTCGATTGTTTTCCTGGATCCTGGCCTATATCAAATATAAGATCAAGACACGAGAAAACCCAGCCATTGCGAGTATTTGGAGACTGAATCTGTTGAAGGGAGCTCTGTGTTTGTATATCTTTCTTTCTTTCTGTTTCTGTAATACATAAATATTAATAAAAACAAAAGAGTGGAGAGAAGAGATTCAGGATAGGAAAAAATATAAGATAACTAAAATTAGATAAAATTAAATTGTGGGCTTACCTTGTGTAGCTAGATCATTACATAAGTGATCTCATTTAATGTTCACACAACCCTATGGATATGCATTATTATTACCTCTTTTCACATTAGAAGAGAATAAGCCTTCAAAAGATCAACTAACCTACAGGGTCCGACACGTGGGACTGGGGAAGTGGAAGGAGGACTGGGCTGTGTGGCCCAGCTTGACTGGAGCATAAGAGAGGACTGGTCAAGGGGTGTGTTGTGTATCAAGTGCCCCAGGGAAGCCTTGTTTGGCACAGGTGATCATGACCACACAGAGGCTAGTTTGGGCCACACAGTCCTGGATGGTGTGTTGTTTGACCAAGAAACAGGAGACTGGCTCAAGGAAGTCTTTGAGAGGCTGGAAGATGAAAACACATATTCCAGACACGCTGGAGCACAGCTTCAAACCACGGAGCAAATCAGTACCAAGCCAGGAACGGCAGCCGATGGCAAACCAGCCCTGCATGGGGGCCTTGGCAGAAAAGGGCATGGAGACCCAACACTGATCAGTAGGTGGAGCCCTGTTGGGGAACCCAGCCTCCCTCCCCACCCTTCCACCTCCCCAGCATGGGGAAGAGTTTAGAGCATGCATTTGCCTTCTGACGCTGCAAGGCCAAGATCACCATCAATATCCTAATTTTCACCCTTCTCCGCTGACCTCACTAATACACGTTACTTTGCATTCAGAGACAAAATACAAAAGTTGGACAATATAAGGACACTTGGAATCTTCCAGGTTCTTCTAGACTTTTGCCCCATGGACATGTTGTAGGGAAAATGGAATCTCTTTGTAAAATCTCCATTAAAATAACCATGTAGGCTTATCTGAAATTAGCACCTCCAGAACTCCTGTTCTGACTTTTGGTTTGGTTTACCTTCTTCTGCATCCTGATCTTGTATCTGATATACCTTTCTAATCAGATAAGAAGAGAGGTGAAGCATTTCTGGACTGCAGACCAAACTCAATGCTATTTGAAAATACGAGTTGGGCTTGGGGTTTTGGTTTTTTCCTTTTTTTATTTGTGTATGATTTAGTGTTCATCCTGCACCAGACACTAAAATGCATTGTTTAATTATCTGAGCTCAACACACCATTTTATAATTCATTAGTCAGTTGCTCTTTGCAAAAGCTTATTTCTTATGAAACAAAAGTGGGAATCATGCGACTGGACTATTTATCTCTCTTTAGGGGTTGGGGGTTAATATCTGATAGCTCATAACATCTTTATTATAATGCATTTATAATGATTTACTGGAATCATTCTATGGCTAAGTATCTAATGTCAAAGCTGGGATCTGGCATGAAATAAAATGCTGTATCCTTGGGTAGCTCTAGGGAAAAAAAGGCCTCAGCCAATATTTTCTGTGTAATTCTACAAACTGTAATAAGGGTAGGGGTAATTGCCTTAATGTCAATTAAGCTATTAATAATGCCCATCTTGTCATTCCTAAATACAGCAGTGTCTCCATCATACATCGCTGTCCCCATTAAGGCTACACAGAAATGAGATCACAGCCTATGTAGACCAGGAAGTCTGACAAGCAGCCAGTTTTACCTCTTTGACATAAGACAAGGGTAAGGGATTATTTATTTGCTTTTGGTGAAAAATTTCTACTTCGAGACATGTATGTATTTGTCAGGGCAAGCATTGCCAATACAAACTGTCCCCTGTTCCTAGTCGGCTCCTGGATGACTAGGAAATGTGTTCTTTAACAAGACTAGCTAGCATTTCAGGCTCTAGGCCCACAAGTAACAGGCCAGATGGCCCAGAACCCGTCCTACAGGCATGTGAGAGTCAGGGGCACCTCATGCAAGCTACAAGTGGGGCTGTGCCGCCTGCACGTTGCCCGCTAGCTACAGAGAAACAGACAAGCTCCTCGAGCACAGACAAATCACAGGGCAAAGCCAATGAGGCTGAGACACTGTCTCAGAGGAAAGAGGCCACCGGCTCATCAGTTCACTTCTGCAGACAAGGTCAAGGCCGAAGGTATATTTGGAATAGGAAGAGGAGGAGGTGGGCTGCAAGGTTGTGGGTGAGTGGCTCGAGTGTCACCAACAGCCCCCCAGCAGCTGTAAACCAGGAACACTCACCTTGCAGCTCAGAAGCAGCCCAAGCCCTTTCTCTGGTTGGCACTTACAGTTCTCCTGGGCTAAGATTCGAGGCAGCTGCTGCCTTCGGCCCCTGCTTGTTGGCTGTCGTGGTGAAGTGAACTTCTACTTGATGATATTTAGAGCTCATTAATTTGTCCCAAGGAAGCTTATTGTATGGCAGTTTAATGACAGAAACCTGTTTTAATGCAAATGGACACGTAATCCCACTAAGCCACTCTGAGGATGTAAATTTAAAACAATCGCTAGGAACTGACACGAGAGTTTAACAAGACGGAGGGCCAGTTCCTAGATCCTGGGACGCCCAGGGGACCCTGCTTGGACACCCAGCCCTGGCAGTTTTAGTGCAGCTGTCGGTTCCCATGGCAATTATAAGGATGAGGGGGGTGCGCTCAGTGATCTCAAGTGGTGAACATCGTGGGGGGAGCACAGAGAAGGAAGTGAAGGGCGAGTGGGCATCCTCTGCTCCTTATTCCTCAGGGCACCGGGTGAGGGAGGGGGAGGCACTCCTGGGAGCCAGGAGGCAGCTCCCTGAGTTCCTACAAACACCTGATGCAGGCAAATCCTCCCACCAAAAGCACAACACCTTGCTGAGAAACCCAGTTCTCCCAGCAGGTGTGGGGGGAAGCCTTCTCTGGGGGTGGGCGTGGGGGACATGAGACAGAGGCAGGAATTGTTTGTGCATACTTGCCAGATTCTAATGCTGTGGGCCACTACCTCATTCTCCAGAGAGCCCTGCAGAAGGTTATTATAGGTGAAGTCATTTTTGTAATAAAGTTGGCTGTAACTCTGGGTCATAAATCATGGGTTGTGGTACTAAAAGATGACTGAACATGCCTCTGTTACCACACACTGTCCTCCTTTTAAATACTTTGATTTTACTACAAATCTCCCATTGACTGAGATGGGGGAAGTATGCACAATGAGCCAACGATTCCGATTCCTTCCGTCCCCAACAGCAGCCCCGCTGGCATCGGGGCCTCCGGGAATGGCTTCCTGAGGTGTGATGTTATTTATGGCACGCTTTCTCTGTCAGAAAGGCAAACAGCATCCCATGTGACCCCAGCACATTTGCATCACTGCTTCCCTTGCTAATTGATTCATCCCCTGGCAGGGGCCGAGACACGGGCCATTGGCTGGACGCACTCTCTCCCAGCTGCAGACCCTGTGGGCGAGGTGCCTCAGAAGCACAGATGTTAATAAACTCGCTAAATGTCAAAACTGCAAAGCTCACGCCCAGTCGGAGCCCATCCGCCATCCTGGAATAAGTCTGTGAAATGCTATCCCCGCCCCTTGTCCGTTATCTCAGTCTAAACTTCACCAGCTTTATTAGCTAAGGAGACGAGCAACTGTTATTAACCACACTGAGTGTTTAATTTCTTGCCTAAGTTCTTCCCTTCTAATAAGAGGCCGGTGCAGAATGAAAAGGAAGGTTATCATATGAAGTGCGTTTCCGATGTAATAAAGCAGAAAGGAGAGGGTGGCCGCAGTGGCAGCTGTGAGAGGGACGAAGTGTGGATCTCTATAGCTCAGTGGCTGCAAAGCAGAAAATGAAGATTGTAAAAACGTCACATAAAGAAAAAATGCACAGTGGATTCGTTTTGCGATGCCCATAATTCAGTAATGCCTTTAAGTAGCTAGAAGAAATATAATAAATGTTTTTCCACAACATTGATCATACTGTATCAGAGGAAATATTAGTGTGCAGGGAGCCGTGATTATACTGGTAGTAATTCTCGGTGCAGAAAACTAGTAGAAGATGGGACCCTTTATGGGCCAAACTTTTATTGGTTGCAGTTATTTACCTTTAAGAATACGCCTAATACATTGTCCTATATAGCTAAGTATTTTTGTGAAAATTCAAACAAGCACTCTCGGTAAATCAGAAATCCTGCCACCGTTTTATAGAATTTATATGTATATATTTTTTTTTTCCTGCAGATGCTCTGATACGTTCCAGAATACAAAAACCAGCCAATTGACCATGTAAAAATTCGAGAAGGCCTGTAAAATAGATTCTTCCTCTGCATTCTGCACCCGGATAGGAGCAGACAGGTTTATGGCATGTGATTCCATCCAAATGCCACCTGTATATATAACATCTCTCTAAAGAAATTAAATGGATTATTAGATTATATATTGTAGTAAAATGATACCCGGGAGCTATACACCAGGAGAAGAGTGCGTGTTGTGCAACTGCTTTTTTTTTTCCCCTGCTCTGAAACAGTGAAGGGACTTTGCAAGGCAGGCCCTTTTTTTTTTTTCTTTAAGGAGGAAGGAAGGGAACTGATTCTTTATGCCAGCCTCTTGCTCCTCAGACTGGCAGGAGCTGGTAGTGCGGTGGCCGTGGGTGGCGGTGTTGGGGGAGGAGGCCCCCTACACTGTTAAGGGAAGGCTCAATTCTCACTCTGCACGGGGCTCTGGCTCAACTCCAGAAATCATCCAGCCAGGGTTCCAGGGTGCAGAAGATAAGAGCCAGCCGAGCCAGGCTCCTGCAGAATTAAAAGGAGGGGCAAGACCCAAGCCTGCTAATCTTCCGTATATTCCCGATGAGATCCTGCTACCAAAGCGACAAAGAGAAGCCAGGAGGCAGAGGCATGGTCCAGGGAAGATGGACCGAGGGCGGCATCCCTGCTCTGCAGAATCTCCAGAATCCAGCACTCGCAGTTCAAAGCCCTTATGAAAGCAAACCGACCTGGTTCAAGGCTGTGGACTCACCTGCTCTGTCTCAATGCGCCTCGCCCCTAACTCTCACTGACACAAATGGGAACCATTTCCCAGCGTGAAAGGAGACCATCTCCTTCTCTGTGTCCTGACTCTTTAATGCAAATCATAGGTTGCACACGTGCACGCGCACGCACACACACACACACACACACACACACTTCGTCCATTGAACACGTTTTCTGTGATGGTTTTCTTCTTTGGGGCATAGTGAGGATAAGGTTTACTAGCTAAAAGGCATTCGGAGCCTTCAACAATTGTATGTCTATGTTACTGTTTTCTATTGGAATTTGGTAGATTTTTTTTTTTTTTTGCTTTTTCTACTTTAGCAAGGAGAAAGTGCAATTTGATGTCTCTCAGTTCTTCCCGCCTGCAGAACTTGTTAGAGAGACAGAGGAACTGAGGAGAAAAGCCCTCCACCACATACGGAGTCTGAGAGTGAGAAATAGCTCCTCAGGGGATGCTGTGAGTGAGTGCCGTCCCTAAGCAGCCACCCGGTGCTCTGCCTGCCGTGAACGAGAACCACAGGCAGGCTGATCTGCCTTCCCAGGCTTGGCCCTGACAGAAGACGCAGCACTTCTGAAGCATCTTACAGTGGCACTACTCAAGGTTTTTTGCAGCAAACAAGACTCTTTTGCGTTTTTTTTTTTTTTTTAATGAAAAAAAAAATTTTTTTGGTCTTAGTTCATTGCCTGGTAGTGGAAGGAGTGCAGTTAGATAAAAGAACACTTTTTGGAGGCTGATATCTGTGGTCTTATTGCCAAAATGAAGATCAATGAGTAGTCCTGTTCTCCCTTCTCCTTCCTCCCGCTCTCTCTCTCTTCCTTCTCCCTTCTTCCTCCCCTCCTCCCTTACTTCTTTTCTTCTCCCTCTCTGCCTCTCCTCTCCTCTTCCTTCCCTTCCTTCCTCTTCTCCTTTCTCTCCTTTATTTTTTCTTTCCTCTTCGTTCTCATCATCTTCAATGACCTGGAAAGAAAATCCGATGAATACTTTAAGCAATTCTACAACCAGGAAAATGTGCGCAATCGCAGATGACCCCCCCTGCGTACTTCAGAGGGGAAGTGCAGTTTCTATGCCTGCTGGGCAGGGCGGTGGCTGCACCCTATCATTCACACTTATAAAAAGATGCCACGTTGGTGGACATGTGCTTAGGGTCTCTCGGAGAGACCCTCAGAGTAGAACTACTGCAATTTTTGTAAAAGTAAAAGACAGGTAAATAATACTAACAGAACAGTCTCCGGAAACTATTTAGCAAGAAAACGGAGAGAATGTGGCTTTACTTGGCATACAGCCCGAGTTACTGACATACGTTGTTGACCGGATGAGGAATAAAAACCAACACTGGCCAACAAGGAAGATTTGATTATAATACAAAACTATTTTATATTTTCAAGCAAGATACATTTGTAATTACCTCTGCAACCACTGGATGTCACTGTTGCACATGTGTGGCAGGAAACATTTCCCATGTAGCGAGAATCTGAAACTGGCATTTTAAGAGCTGTCAGTTACCTCCTTGTGCTCTACCTTTGGACTGAACAGGAGCAGCCATCCCACGTCTCAATTATGCCCCTCTATTGGGAATTCTTCTAATTTCCCCTGGATGAGATTCCCCCAAACACAATTATTTTCTTCACTACACTTAAAAGGACTGCAGTATTTTTAAAACAGTTCGCTACACTGCATATTAATTATAACTAGCACATTCTGGATATCAGATGGGGTGAAGTGGAGGCATAATCATAAAATACCCTGGATTTATAAAGTGGCCTACCCCCAAACTGCTCACAACAGTTTCATATCTATTTGCTCATCTGTCTTCCCAGCATCCCCTGGGGGTTACCTGTTTTAATGCTTTTATGAGTCAAAGTTGACCTGTGAAATAAATTGAATGAAGTAATTATTTGCACTAGCATCCCAGGAGTAAAGCAAAAGCAAACATCGGAAGTACACTCCAGACAGCTAATTCCAGTTTGTGAAAGTTACTAACTAAAACTGTGGTGGTTCTGATTTTTTTTCCAATTCCTTTTTAAAAATTCCTCATTCCTGGACCCTTTCCTTCTTCCTTAAGAAATCCATTTGAAAAATCTGGGCCATCTTGTGCAGCTGACGTTACACATTATTAGATCTGGAGACTGTTCCAAATCTGGAAAGGCCTGGCCCAGTTCGAGTGCTAACGGGAGCATGGCCAGTGGGGTGGGGGTGGGGAGAGGAAATGGGGAAACCAACTGGAACGGTAGTTAGCTTTCTCTATACTTAGAAATGACCATGAGCTTCAATAGCGCCATCCAGTTGAGTCTCTTTTCTTTCTTTCCTTTCCTTTTTTTTTTTTAAACTAAAACCTTGGAGTTGTTTTCTTTACTTCCTGTCGTGACTTTGCATAGGGAAGCCACGCTGTTCTTGGAGGGCCATTGGCCTAGATTTTCAGGGGGAGGGAGGCGCTCTCTGTTCCAGTGAATTATCAGAGTGCTGGGTTGCCTGCCATCCACACAGCGCTTTGATCCAAAATTTCAGTCATTGTTTCCACATTTAGGGGTTGGAATGAACATCAAAGAAGTGGGTGTATGGAATTTACTGAATGCCAAAGAAGCACAATAACATACAGAGGATATAAGCAAATCCCAGTGGCAAAATTTGCTGCCAATTCTTGCACATAATAGAGGCCCTAAAGTGACAGTCTATCTTTGACAAATGCATAATGATATCAACGCCAAGGGAAGGAACTAGCATGCTGAAAGGTGAATAAAGAGTTGGGAACAATTCAGTGGACTTACACATTTCCTCAGTGTGTTTTCTCACAACAGGGAAAGCAGATGACACACATGCATTAGGTAATCGTTGGACAAAGCTGCACACTCACCAGCAGTCTTCAACCAACCTGGATCTTTCAGGATCCAGCTCTAAAGATGAGAATAAAACGTGATTAGAAATCATCCATCTTCTAAAAAAAAAGAACAAGTAAAATGAAAATAGCTCTCTTGTTCAGTCTTGGATAGTTCCAGATTTTAAAACCCATATGTTGTTTGCCATAACTTCTTCGCCTCCCAGGGCCAATGCATTCCAAACGCTTCAGCTAGTGCATTGCGTGGAGTAGTCCTGAAAGTTAGGGCTCATTTGTATCTGTAAAAAAGTCTTTGTTCAAATCTGGATTAATTTTGGTTAATTTCAGTGGGTGCACATAAAGTAAAATGCACATAACTGAAACCACTGAAATCAGGCTATTGTGTGATCATCTAAAACCTACTTTTCAAGCCCCTTTAAGTTTTATCTTTGAGATTAAAAAAAAAAGACTGTAAAAAGTTTCCAAAAGCATTGGCATTATAAGCAGTTGCTAACCAAGGCTAGTCCCAGAATGACTGAGCAGATTTGGGTATGATTCTAGAAAAGTTAACTGCCCTGCAGTGCCCCCATACATATTTCATTCAGAAAGTGATTTGATCAGGGTCCCGTGAGATATGGCTCCTGCCCCCAGGGCTGGGCATCCACATGGATGCAGATTGTCCTGCTCTCACCAGCCCAAGCCTTAAAGGGCAAAGGCAAATTTTTGCCCACAAGTTTCAGTCTTCAGACTATGATGAAGACGAGCAGGTAAGGCCATCTTGAAGCTGATTTAGAAAACCAAACTCAAAAATGGCAGAGAACATGGAAGCAGGCTGCATGGCTCACGAGCACAGTCTGGTAGTGAATCAAGCACAAGTAAGCTCAAAATGTGTATGTTTATTTGCAACCTTACTTGGTTGAGCAAGAAATTGTGCCACCTGCAAATTGAGCCGGAACTCTGTCCTTGGCTTTAGACAATCACAGCAGATTTGTTTTTATTGTGGCCAAATCACCTTCAACACGGCTCCCACAGCTCCTCCGTGCTCCTTACAAAATTTCTTCCGTGGCCTTGCACTGCATCATAAAGGAGCTCTTGGAAGGGTCCTGCTCTGTTGATTGTGCGTGTTAAGTAAATGCAATGATTTTCATTATTTCAAACTCTCTAATGAAATGACTGTGTGCCCGGCAACATTAGAAAATGGACAAACAGGCATTCAACTGGCTGGATGAACCATGGCTTTCTGGCATTAAAAGTGTAATATTTATGAGTTAATTTAATCACAGAAGAAAATATTGAGTAGGTGGCTGAGTAAAATGATGACTTTGTATTATATTTTCGCCATGCAGCTGGATAAACACATTCAATGACAGACCTTGGCAAGAACTGCAAAGATGCTCTTGACAATGGCATGAATAAATATTAGGTGCTGTCTAGAATTCACTGTATTTGGAGTCTTGAGCAAAGCCAGGTGAGTTTTAACAAGAAAATATAGAAGAAGCTATGTATGCACATTGGGATTATGTAAACACTGGAGTCTTTTTTCTGCTGCTGAAGAATTGCTCAAACATTCATTTTCAACCACATCACTGAGAGATTTTTCCTAACTTGCTATCTTTGTCTGCAAATGTAGGAGTGCATTTTACCATAAAGCCCTGGTTTAGAGAAGCTCATGGTAAATTTTCCAACCACATAGACTTGGAAAGAAAATAAACACTTTGCCTAGGCTCCAAAGAAATAACCAGAAAGATTGTCTGTTGTGATCCAATCAAATCTATGTTAACCAGTAAATTTTAAAATTCTTTAGATTTCTTCTGGAATTTCTTTAGAATATCGGCTTTCTGATATCACAAGAGAAAAGAACATTTCAGAAAATATTTTGAAGATTAGCGATTCAGCAACATTCATAGCCCTTTAGTGAAGGATTAGTATTTAGAGCAAAAAGAATCGGTGTGCAAGAGAGGAGAATGGAAATATGTCATGACGATTTTTTTTTCTCTTCAGAACTGTCATTTTACCAACAAGGAAAACTGCATATTAAGATCTATTTGTTTTTGATGTTTTGGAGCCCACACATTGTCTCAGAGAGGGGGAAGAGAAAGAAGAGGAAGGGAAGGGGGAGGAAGAGGAGCAATGCCACCACCACCACGAGCTCACCAGACCACCACACGCGAGGTCTCTGGGCCACAGTGCATGTGCCACAGGCTGCTGCTATCACTGAATTTCCTGTTTGCTATTTTTCAGCTGTCTTAGCATTAAAATGTAAAAAGAGGATGCACTAGAAAGGTTAGCAGGGCCTATTAGGGGAAAAACACCTGTCTGGGTGTGGGCACCTGCACTGCTGGGCCAAGTGTCCATACCCCACAGCAGGCAGGGGGCATGGGTCTCATCCTTGGCTCTGGCTCTTGAGTCCAGCTTCCTGCTGATACAGACCCTGTGAGGCAGCAGTGATGGCACAAGTGATTGGGTCCCTGCTGCCCAAGGGACATACCTGGAGTATGCACTCGGCTCGCGGCTTTGGCCTGCCCTAGTCCTGGCTGTTGCTGGCATTTGGAAAGTGAACCAGTGCATGTGAACTCTCTCTCTTTCTCTGTTTCTCTATATTCCTGACCTTCAAATAAATAAATAAAGTTAAAAACAACAATAACACCTTTGTGGGTACGGGTATCCTGGACTCCAGACTCAGTTGTATGACCTTGAGTATGACCTTGAGCAAGTCACTTTGTCTCTTTGAACCCAATTTTCCCATCCACAAATTGTGAAAACATCTATTTGCCTATTTTTAAGAGTGATTGTGAGAGGAAAACTGTATAATCTACCTAAAGCTTTGGATTCTTTTGTTAATAAATGGCACTGCATTTAATTTGAATTGCTTGATTCAGAAAGGATCTCAGTTTTACTTAGAGGAATTAAAACGCAAATTTAAGAAATTACTGTGACTCCTACTGATACTCCCCAATATATTAAAGCAAATATGCTGACCACAAACTTATTTTTTCCTTATTTTCTTCGGGAAAAATAACTTCTCAAGATATTTATTTTTGAAAAGGAAATCTATCTCACTTCCCAACTACTGTGTCTTTCTGGTATCTTCCTTCATTGGACACTTTCTAATCCAACATTTATTCAACAAGTAAATATCCAGAGTGTTTGAATGAGGTATTGGAAAGACTAGTAACAAAAGGAATGTTTTGGAGGCCAAATCACTCTGACTTGGTTATAGATTATACACAGGAAAACGAGAGAGAGAAGCTATCAAAGATGACTCCCAGATTTGTTATACAGAAAATGGGAGAAAGAAAAGATTCAGGAATTCAGTTCTGGAGAAATTAAATTTGACTGTGAAACATCCCAAAGAAAAAAGGCAAGAAAAAACAATAAAGGCAGCTTCCATGGGCAGGGAGAAAAAGGACACCTGTCAAGTTTCTGCCTGTGTATCAATGAGGTATAAGCCTGGGGAGGGACTTACGCTTCCTAGATGTTGGTTTCTTCACCTGTAAAATGGAAGTACTAATACCTATCTCATCACCATGTTGGAAAGACAAAACGACAACTTTAAAGGCATTTTTAATGAGATATTCTACTTGTTATAATAGAGACGTAAGTAACAACACAAAAAAGTTAACTGTGTCACTTTTCTCTTGATGACTTTAGGAGTTTTAGCCTGTGTCTATGGTTAAGTCTAAGAATTACAGCATACACAACTAGCCCTGAATATGGAAGAGAAATAGCATGAAAAAAAAACTGTATAACAAAGATATTAATTGCATAGGGTTTTGCAAGTTCTGAGAAACATGTACTTGATCAAGATCTGCTCACAAGAAGAGCCTGAAGATACAGCCCAACAATGCCAAGGCCATGACCAGAGGCTATCAAAATCCTTGTAAAGTCCAAAGAAGGCAAGCTCAAGATTCCAATGAACATGAGCCATGCATTCAATCAACTCGCCTGCGCCATCCACCCTAAGCTCAGGAAGTGTGTTCATGCCCAAATTGCCAAGGGTTTCAGGCTCTGTTGACCAAAGGCTAAGGCCAAGGTCAAGGCTCAAACCGAGGTCTTGACTATGACTGTGGCTCTAGATCCTAGATCATGTTCCTAGAGGTGCCCAGCCACATTCCAAAGGCTCCAGATTTGATACCTCTCTCTGCCAATGTGAGGACAAGAGGACTGGTGTGATCCCAGGCTACTGTTTGCATGGGCTGGTGTTCTCCTGTGCTACTTATAAAAATAAACCTGAGGCAGGATAAAAGAAGAAAGGAAGGAAGGAAGGAAGGAGGGAGAGAACTGGGACTTCTGGAAATATCTCCACGGATGTCCTTCTCTTCTTGGTTCTTCACGAACTCACTCTGTGACTGACTGGGCCTCTCTCCCCTCTGATTCTCCACCTTCACAAGGAGCCCTATAATCATGGCCGCATCTCCAAGGGTACACAGAGTTAATGTGAAGGCCTTCCTAAGATTCATGGTTAATTAGGATGAGGCTCATGGGGCAGGAATCATGGCCTGGAATAATACGGGCTCCCAGGGAATGTGAATTGATTGGGATTAGCATTTACTACTGGGTTTTAAATTTATGGGAAGGAGAAGAGAGTTCAGTCAGTTGGGAGAAAACATCTTCCTAATCATGTGGATTTGGAACCCTCCATACCCCCGCATACATAAGTGCCAGTTTGTCCATAGAACCCAAGGAGGAGCAAAGGCTATGGAAAGATGAGGCAGGATGTAGGCATGCCCCCATTTACCCTTCCCTGGGGGAACTCCTTAATCCCTCTCTATGATAACATACTGATAATTTATGTGTGATTAACCTTTTTTTTTACCATCCCAAAGCTAAGCAGGTAATCTGACTGCCAACAGTGGAGTAGCACTGGTTGTTATAGAGATTATGGGAGGAGGCAGAAAGCAGCTCCCTTTGCAGAGTCTAAGGCAGCTCAGCTCATTCTTTTTTTTTTTTTTTTTTTACAGGCAGAGTGGACAGTGAGAGAGAGAGACAGAGAGAGACAGAGAGAAAGGTCTTCCTTTGCCGTTGGTTCACCCCGCAATGGCCACTGCGGCCGGCGCACCACGCAGATCCGATGGCAGGAGCCAGGTGCTTCTCCTGGCATCCCATGCAGGTGCAGGGCCCAAACACTTGGGCCATCCTCCACTGCCTTCCCGGGCCACAGCAGAGAGCTGGCCTGGAAGAGGGGGCAACCGGGACAGAATCCGGCACTCCGACCGGGACTAGAACCCAGGGTGTCGGCGCCGCAGGTAGAGGATTAGCCTAGTGAGCTGCGGTGCCGGCCAAGGTGGTTCATTCTTAAAGGAATAGAGCAAATAGACTCTTTGTTAAATACAGAACCTAACAAAATAATAGATTGGAACTTGGGGCCAGCGCTGTGGTGTGGTGGGTAAAGCCGTCGCCTGCAGTGCCAGCATCCCATATGAGCCCTGGTTTGTGTCCTGGCTACTCCTCTTCTGATCCAACTTTCTGCTATGGCCTAGGAAAGCAGTAGAAGATGGCCCGAGTCTTTGGGCCCTTGTACTCACGTTTGAGACCCAGAAGAAGCTCCTGGCTCCTGGCTTCGGATAGGTCCAGCTCTGGCTGTTGTGGCCATCTGGGGAGTGAACCAGCAGATGGAAGGCCTCTCTCTCTCTCTCTCTCTCTCTCTCTCTCTCTCTGCCTTTCAAATAAGTAAAAAAATATTTTTTACAAAAGATTTGACCTTGAATAATGTCTTTATGCTGTAATGCAAGTTTTATTATGTTGCCTTTATTTCTTATACATTTTTTGTTTCTTTCATGATTGAAAATGTTCAAATGCAAAAACATAGAAAGGAAGTCATACTCTATTTTTCAAAACTGGATGCTGGCCGGCGTCGTGGCTCACTAGGCTAATCCTCTGCCTTGCGGCACCGGCACACCGGGTTCTAGTCCCGGCCGGGGCGCCGGATTCTGTCCCGGTTGCCCCTCTTCCAGGCCAGCTCTCTGCTGTGGCCAGGGAGTGCAGTGGAGGATGGCCCAAGTGCTTGGGCCTTGCACCCCATGGGAGACCAGGAGAAGCACCTGGCTCCTGCCATCGGATCAGTGCGGTGCGCCGGCTGCACCGCGCTGGCCGTGGTGGCCTTTGGAGGGTGAACCAGCGGAAAAGGAAGACCTTCCTCTCTGTCTCTCTCTCTCACTGTCCACTCTGCCTGTCAAAAAAAAAAAATCCCAAAACTGGATGCTGTTTGTCTATTAATAGTTTTTCCAGCTCTGCCCTCTGAACCCAAAATTCTTATTTCCTAGGTATTAAATTTCCATTCCTTAATTACTAGTATATTAATATCTAGTATATTTGGCATGATGCCTTGAAATTCTAATACTAATTAGTAATTAGGAAATTTTCATGGCTATACAACGAACTATGGTAAGCAGATTTGATGCTGTACTTCTTTTTGTACACTTATAGGTTAGAATACATGAGTACATCACTTCAAAGAGAGAAAGACCATTTGCAAGTTTGTGTGTGTGTAAAGCATTTGGGACAGTACCTGGTACATTGTAAGTTCAACTTTTAGCTGTTTCTCCTCATCTTCCTCGTAGTATTACTGCTACTGTTGCTACTCACTGGTGTTGAAAGGTCTAAGAAGGTGACAAGAGGTCAGCTGGGCTGGTTTCATCAGATCGCCCAGCCCCTGGCATGAACCTAACATATGTGTAGTAGATTAGATATTTGCTTTTTTAATGAGTGACCCTTTGGGGAGGGCAATCTTTGTGCCATTAGCTGCCTTTTTGGAGCTGTGCAAGTGTCACAGTGGAGCCCAGGGATGTGGCGTACACACAGGCCATCCCTCTAAAGCAGGGCTTCATGAACTATCAGTGGTGAACAATCAGTTCTTTCTTTAATACTTGACAAAATGCCATAAAAGTAACTTAAAGTGAAACATCAAATACATATAATAAAGTCCCCTTTTTTAAAAATTATAAGGTTCAAGAGGCAAAAGCTTATGCTGCCAAGTGACTCTCAAAAGTTCTAAATGCTTCCTCTCAGTCCATAGGAACCAATGGAAAGCAGACTGTGGACCTCACTTTGAGTAGCAATGTCATCATGAACTCGGAGGAGCGCAGCAGGCCCTTCATTTCCATACTGCATTCCTTCTGGAGTTCAAAGGGCTCTCATCAAAGCAGGGAATGCTAAAGGTCAGCAGGTCTCAGCTCCAGAGTCAAGTGGCCAAACTATCAGTGTGAAGTTGGTGCATAGGAGGTAACTTGGGGAGGCCACCACTGAAATCTGCTGCTGGCCATACCAGCAGCCAGGAATTTACACACAGCTAAGCAGTAGGCTGTTTATGCCGGTGCACAGGTGTGTAAACAGTTTGTGATAGAAAGGTTTACGGCGAATAAACACATTGTATGATATACTGTAATCAACTATATAAACAACTTTAAAATTGTCTATACTTCATATTTCCAGCATTTGGTTTTGTTAATCATATGTCTTCCTGACAGCAATTAAATAACCTTGAGAGAAAATGTACACCTGCTGTCTCCCCTGGGGAAACTACATCTCTTTTGTGAATGACATAAGTTCTCCATAAAACATAACTGAAGATAGGAGAATTGAATTTGAAGCTATGTCTCTTTTCTCTCTTGTTTTATCTCTAGTTGAATTGGAGTGCACGGTTTAATATAGCTAATCTTTTCCAGGATCCCTATTCTGAGATTTTTATTTAGACCAAATTATTTCCCCAAGGGGCAGATTCGAGACAATGGAAAATAAACGAGGCTGTGACAAGTGTTGCATAGGTGGGCAATGGATGGCATCAGCTCACGTTGCCCCAGTTTCTCAGCCTCAGTACTCCCAATTCTTTCTGATTCCTTCAGCAGATTTCATGGACTTTCATATATACCATACTGATCATGGTTTACTTCAAATCCAACCTATTTTGTTGTTGTTGTTCTTAAATCAGCATCCAAACATGGCCCAGTCTTTAGAATTGGTTAATTTAAAGCCTCTGTTAAATTGCAGGATTCCAGAGCTCCAGATCTGAGGTCATGGGCAGTGGTCCTCCTGCAGCTACTGGTGCCACTCAGAGTAGCCATGTGTGTGCTCCAGGCTCTGGGCAGGTGCACCCAGGACTGGCCGTGCACAAACCTGTGGCTGCTGCTGCATTAGTTGCATGAGGCCATGTTTGGGATGTTCATTCCAGGGAGTGTGTTCTTGGTGCTGGTCTGGGGCAGTGAGTGGTTCTGGTGGCACCAGACAAGCCAAGGGCAGACCCATTACCAGTGCTGAATGCATGACAACCACCCACCTGGCTTCAGCTACAGCATCTTCGGGCAGTTCCTGGACAAGTAGGTCCACCTCTTCCAGGCTTCAGGGGACCAAGTGCATAGTCCTGAGGACAAAACATCATAAAAGTTTCACAAATTGGCTCAGTCCTGAGTCCCGAGCCTTGAAATTGGAACTCTAAGGACCTGGGGCCCTGTCACCTTTTGGTTTGCCAGTTGGGAACAGCTGCCTGGAAGAGAAAGTACACATGGATTGTATTATGTCCTCTTAGAATAGTCCCCTGCCCTCTACCTGCCTGATAAGAAAAATCAGTTCAACATACAGCATTTTGTGGGTATGAAAACAATGCTGGGGTTACATAATCTTATTGACAGATGCAAACCTCATCATCAGTTGGTCTGATGGAGAGTGGAATGTCCTGATAATTCTTGGAACTCTACAACTTTTCTTTCTTGGTTCTACCACAATAGGCTCATCAAGAATGATGTAGTAGTAGTAAGTGGCCAATGGGGTAAGAGATGCCTTGCCATCATTGGGGATACTCTAACTGTCAAGATAAACTCAGGCCTTGGAGGCAGCTAGAACACAAGTGGGAGATGGGCACCCCTAGAAATTCTAGGTCTATGGCTGTGATATGGTGTTGTCAGACACTGCACATGACTATGAAATGATTTCCTAAGTGATTCAGACAGTAAGTCTGGAAGGTAACAGTCTTCTCAACACTGCGCGAGCTACAGCAAGATTATTGTCCCCATCCTTCCAGAAAGGCTTCTTGCTGTTGAGAAGTGGCTGAGCGTCCATGGGGGAGGCCATCCATGCTTCGACCATGGAGGATGCAAAGGAAAAGGACATGCTGTCTGCATGGTATGCCTCAAAGGAACCAGCTTCCCATGACATTTTACTGCACTGCCCAGAAAATGGAGTTTTACATCTTGAAACTGCATTCCCCCCACTCCCCCACACACAACTGCCTGGACTAGAAAGGTAGTGATTCTGGAATCCTAGATTTGAAGTCATCCACAAGTCTGGCTAAAGGTTTTATTTCTCTGCCCTACTTACCACTCTGTGCTCTCTGGGTTGAGTTTGCTTAGACTGTAAACCTGACAGCAGTGGAGTTAGCATCACAGGCCAAGAGGAAAGGGACATTGCTTTGTCAGTTGTTGTTTGATGTGCTTGTTACAGTACCATCATTGTAATAAACTAACTTCCCTTCCCCTCCAAGAGATGCCTTTTCCAACACTTTTTAAATCAAACACACTGAGTACTTTACACTGATGTCTCAATGGACCAATGATCTGAGCTCCTTTGCTAGAATACCTCAGACTAGTCAGCAAAAGGGACTGAACAATTACACTCCCAGTTCATTTGTCCTTTCTTATATGGAGGTGAATTTTTTTCATTTTAAAGTTCAACAATTTTTAACATTTTTCCACATTCACTTCATATGCACTCATTATATAAATACACACATATATGGCCGGCGCCACGGCTCACTAGGCTAATCCTCCGCCTTGCGTTGCCGGCACACCAGGTTCTAGCCCCGGCTGGGGCGCCGGATTCTGTCCCGGTTGCCCCTCTTCCAGGCCAGCTCTCTGCTGTGGCCAGGGAGCGCAGTGGAGGATGGCCCAAGTCCTTGGGCCCTGCACCCCATGGGAGACCAGGAGAAGTACCTGGCTCCTGCCATCGGATCAGCGCGGTGTGCCGGCCGCAGCGCGCTGGCCACGGCGGCCATTGGAGGGTGAACCAACGGCAAAGGAAGACCTTTCTCTCTGTCTCTCTCACTGTACACTCTGCCTGTAAAATAAATAAATAAATAAATACACACATATAGTATTTTTTTCTTGAAAAAGGAGATGTTAATATCACCAAGTGAAAGATTCATGACAATGACCATAATGTGGGTAAAGAAGGGTATATTGTCATGTACATGGTATGATCCAGCGAAGCAATATTTATAAATATACACCACATGATAAGACATCCACACAATTATCATACTCTATATATTATCTTCCACAAATAAGAGGAAATGTGGTATTTGTCTTTCTAGCTCTGGCTTTTTTCAGTTAGCATGATGATCATCCATTCTTAACTTTGGAAATTATTTACAATGGAAAATTCCCTTATTCTTTGATAATTTATCAGTTTTCTCAAAAACTTTAGATAAAGAATATGCCAAGTCGTCTTGTTGCTTGTGGGAAGAGCTGGAAAGTCTTATAAGTACCACCTCCTAAACTGCCTCCCCTAACCCCTATTCCCACCCCAAGTAGAGGAGTGAGTAGAGGGATGGAAAAGCTTTGTTAGGCTGCCAGTGGGTAACTCTTCAGAAGTTTCCAAAGCAAATTAAGAGCTCTGAAATCTAATGATTTTTGTCCTGCCTTTCCAAATGAATAAACCTGCATGTGAAAAAAATTCCTAGGTTTTCCATAATCTGTCTTGTGATTTGATTTGTTTTTAATTTGCTTACTTGTTTTACGTTTATTGCTATTGTTATTAATATTGGCTTTCCTGGTGTTTCCCATAGCTTGGGTTGTTCTGATTATATCTTTGTACTGTTGCTTAATGCGCTCTCCTGTCACTGTAGGGTGTGACCTGGTAGTTAGATTTAGAGGCTCACCAGATCCAGGTTCAGTTGTTCTGTCAAGAATATTTCATGCACATTATTCTGTGCTCCTGGTAGGAGGTTTTCCTTTTCTCTCTTTGGTGAGGTTAACAATTGTCGCTTTTTCCCCCTGGCTATTACCACATTAGGAGGCTGTTAAGTGGTAGGATCCTAATTCTGCCACTCCCTACTCATTTATTAGCTGAAAAATTCCATAAAGAGAAACTTCCCTTTATTCCTTGGCTACTCTGAGTCTCTTTTTTTTTCCTGTAACATGACATATTGGTTCACCAGAATGCTTTAAAGGTGATTGATAAGTTTAGGTTTTGATATCACAATGAATTTATGGATTGAAGTACACCTGCAAAGTGTCCATTCATTTCCTTCATCCTCCTACAGATGCTCAAATTATTCCACCTTTGCCTGCCTAGCTGGATCCTTTTTAAGCTGGTACCCAAATCATTTGGAGAGAACCCTGCTAGTTTTTCATAGCTTTATTGTTACCCAATATGATAAGGTATTCAGACTCAGACCTGGAATCAACCACTTCTTTGAGAGGCCGTCTTCCTTTTGATGGAAAATAGTGTTCTGAGACATGGTAAGGGTCTCTGAAGTGCTGTCAGATTGGCTGTCTCTTAGATGGCTTTTGGGTGGACAGAACTAGAAAATATATACTTTAAAGCGTTTACAATTTTTTTATTGTTGCTTATTTAAGAGGAAGTGCACTTCCATTCACTGGTTCACTTCCTAAATGCCCACAATGGACAGGGCTGAAGCCAGGAGCCGGAAGTGCAAGCCCATGTGGGTGGCAGGAATCCAACTGCTTGAGTGGTCACCACTGCTTCCCAGCCTCTGCATTGGCTGGAAGCTGGAGTCGGGAGCTAGAGCTGGGATATGAACCCAGGTGCTCCAATGTAGGACACTGGCACTTTAACTGCAAGGCTAAATGCCTGCTCCCCAGATGTGTACTCTTAAACGTAAAACACATTATGAATTCGTATTGCTATAGCAGATTTATTTTCAGAGCTACAAGACTTTTTACATCTACCTGCTCTCACCCAAGCTGAAAATCCCAGTTCTCAGTGACACCGTTGCCTTACCCAACACTACATACTTAACTATTTCAGGGTACCAATACTACATAGCAACATGAATCAGTGGAAACCAAACCAATTAGAGGATATGACAGAACAGAAATCCCCATGCCTGACAGCTAAAAACAAAGTAAAATATCTCAGTGTAAATTTAATAATAAACATTCAAAGTCAATATAGGAAAATTATAAATACTCACAAGATACAAAATTAGACTTAAACAACTGGAAAAGTAAACCATGTTCAGAGAAAATCTCAGCATCGTCAAGCTCTGTTATTTCTACGTGTATTTAAACAGTTAACGTAATGCCAATAAAATTATCATCAGGGTTTTTGCTAGAGCTAAAAAAATTGACTGCAGAGCCAAGAAATCCCATCCCTTTAAAAGAACAGTAATATGTAACATCAAAACATATTGATCATTAAGTAAACTGAGTGTAGATCTTTGTAAAAATTAAGAGTGGGAATGGGAGCGGGAGGAGGAAGAAGGGTTGGAGTGTGGGCGGGAGGAAGTATCACTGTGTTCCTAGATCTGATATAGGAAATACATGTATAATGAAAATACATGTGTAACTTAAATAAAATTTTAAAACATATCATAAACCTCTAAAATTAAAAGCTTGGTGATAATGGCAGAATAGACAAAGGGAAAAAAAAAAAACAGAAAATTCCAAAGTAGATCCAACTGCATATGAAAATTTAGTATATGATAACAGTAACATCTCCGTTACAAAAGGAAAAGATGGACTTTTTCATGAGTGTTGGTGTTAGGACATCCTCATAGCCATATGCACGGAGATCAACTGGAGCTATCTCTTGTGCTATATACCAAGACAGATTCAAAATGGATGACGAAAATTTCTGTGTAAAAAATGAAACACATAAATACAGTTGTGCACCGCTTAATGACAGGGAATGTTGTGGAAAACACCTCCTTGGGCTATTGCCTCGTTGTGTGACATCACAGAGTGCATTCACACAACCTGAGATGGCTATGACATCACCAGGAGATAGAAGCTCACGGCATCCGTTGTGTATATGGTCTGTCATTGACTAAAATGCCATTATGTGGCACCTAACTGTACTAGGAAAATATAACCCTGAGTGAATCACTCCATAAGCAGGGATAAGATAACTTTCTAGAGTTCACTCTGAAATACAGATGTAAAAAGGAAAGACTGATACACATGATTACATTAAAGCAAATCTTCACACTTCATCCGGATGAGTTATATCAAGCACATTTTGCAGATGCAAAAATTCAGACTTGCAACAATTAAGTATCTTGCCCAACTTTACAATCAGGAAATGTCAGAGATGGGATTTGAACATGTTGAAATTGCAACTCATTACACACTGAGCCACCTAGATGTATATTCACTCCTGACGCATTGAGAAAATCAGAGACGA